CCTCCTTCTCCTTTTCCTCCTCCTTTTCCTCCTTCTCCTTTTCCTCCACCTTTTCCTCCTCCTTCTCCTCCTTTATCTCCTCCTCTTCCTCCTTTTCCTTGTCCTCCCCTCAAATCTACCACAAACTCTACAAAACACTAAAATAACTTGCCCTGGATTCCTTGAATTTCTTATTTTGCCTGGAATTCTCCTAAAAACCTTCCTAACATGTGACCTCCATGTCCAAAGTACAGGAATTCTGGGTGTTTGTGTGTGTTAATCCTCCTTTTGCAGCAAGGAGTGGGAAGAAAAATCCACGTTAACACAGAGCCATTCTTCCAGGGGAAAAAAAATGATGCTTCCAGGGAAAAAAAAAAGCACTTTTCAGGATCCTTTGTAACCTCTTTAAGTGGGTAACAGTGACACTCAGTGGCTGCCCTGGTGCTTTGGGAAATACAAACACTGGGAAGTGATTCCTGGTGTTAATGCCATGCTCAGGGCTGGAGGAGAAAGCAGTGGATGAGGACTAGTATTTATAATTTATTAATATATGTATTTTATGAGTATTAGGATATATTATTCCGGTGTTAATTTTTTAGCAGTTTTCAGCTCGGCAGCAAATCAGGCTTTTAAAATGCAGCAAGTTCAGCAGTAATTATCCCTTATTAATAAAATATTGGTAGTTTACACTCATTTGGTTGTTTAATCAACTGCTGTAATGAAAATTAAAATATCACAGAGCTTACAGGGCTCTCAGTCTGAGTAATCACTCTCTGATATTTCACCTCCCCTTTCCTGTGTGAAAGTGAGATAAATATTTGGGACTTTTCCTACACCTCCTAAGTCTACCCTGAAACAAGCTTATTTATCCTATTTTAAAGTTTTAAACCCAGAAGTTACTGTTAAAAAGACTTCAAATTTTCTGAAAACATCAATTCATAAACGGGCTTTTCATACAACTTTAATTTCCTAGAAGTTGGTGATTTTAGAAACAATGAATTTTCTCAGGGAGGATGAAGTCAGGTGATCTCAAAGAGCATTTGAAGCTCCTCTGTATTTATATTTTTTTTTGGTTCACATGCTGAAACCAGTGACAAGTGACTGAAATTATTCTTGAGACCATTTCAAAATTGAAAACTTTAAAGGCTCCTTTATCATCACTGCACACTCATTTCCTTTTATTGATCCTCTGATTTTTTAAAATTAATTTGAATGCAACAAATCACCTTTTTTATTCTGCTTTAGTGAGGTGTTACTGATATTTCCTTTTTTCACTCCCCAGTTGTTTTTACAAATGCAGGGACAGAAATAACTGTGCTTCTCAAATTCCTCAGGCTGTTCCTCACTTTCTGTCCATGGGCTTCCTTAGTGTCAGATAGAAATTACTGCAGAACCATGGACAGATTTCAAATTGCAATTTAAATCTCTCCAAGGGGAAGTTTTGTGGAAAATACGAGCTCTGGGTTTTGAATTCTCTCAGAGCACTGTAATTCCTTGGGTTAAAAGCAGGTGGTGCAGGGCTGTGGTCCTTCTCCCTCTCCTGCCTTTTCCCTCTCCAAAAAAATCCAAACCCAAACAAACACACAAAAAAAAACCCACAAAAAAAAGAGCAGCAAAGTTCTTATCTTTTAAAATACATTTGTTTTCTTGTATTTATTGTTTCAGTGGGCAGTTTGTGTTCTGAACTGCCCAGCGAAATATCAACCTTTGACTCCCTTTCTCTGGAAAGATCTTGAATATTGAATGTTTTTCTTGCAGGATTTAATGATTTTTGAACGCCAGTGGACCAACTTTTTTGCTAATTTTGACACAGAAATTCCCTTCATTCTGGAGCTCTCGGAATCTCAGGCAGGGGAGGTAGGTCTGCTTCAGGAATCCTTGGAAATCCTGCTCTCAGCCGTGCAGAAGGAATAAGGATTCAGCATTAGGGTTATTTTTTTTTTCCTGCCACATCTCACCTTTGAGGGCTCTGCAGAGGGACCTGGACAGTCTGGATCCATGGGCTGATTCCAACGGGATGAGGTTCAACCAGGCCAAGTGCCGGGTCCTGCACTTTGGCCACAACAACCCCCTGCAGCTCCAGGCTGGGCCAGAGGGGCTGGAGAGCAGCCAGGCAGGAAGGGAGCTGGGAGTGGGGATGGACAGGAAGCTGAACAGGAGCCAGAGTGTGCCCAGGTGGCCAAGAGGGCCAATGGATCCTGGCCTGGAGCAGGAACAGTGTGGCCAACAGGTCCAGGGAAGTGATTCTTGGCCTGGACTCAGCACTGGTGAGGCCACCCCTGGAGTGCTGTGTCCAGTTCTGGGCCCTCAGTTCAGGAAGGACATTGAGGTCCTGGAGCAGGTCCAGAGGAGAGCAACGAGGCTGGGGAAGGGACTGGAGCACAAGTGCTGTGAGGAGAGGCTGAGGGAGCTGGGGCTGTTCAGCCTGGAGAAGAGGAGGCTCAGGGGAGACCTCCTCACTCTCTGCAACTCCCTGACAGGAGGGGGGAGCCAGGGGGGGGTTGGTCTCTTTTCCCAGGCAACTCTCAGCAAGACAAGAGGGCTCAGGGTCTTCAGCTGTGCCAGGGGAGGTTTAGGTTGGAGATTAGAAAGAATTTCTTTGCAGAGAGGGTGCTCAGCCATTGGAATGGGCTGCCCAGGGAAGTGGTGGATTCTCCGTCCCTGGAGGTGTTTAAGCTGAGGCTGGATGTGGCATCAGTGCCATGGGCTGGGAACCACGGTGGGGTTGGATCAAGGGTTGGACTTGATGATCTCGGAGGTCCCTTCCAACCCAGCTGATTCTATGATTCTATGAAAACCTGTGGTTTGGGTTTTTTCAGTCACCACCCACCTTAAAAATCCCTGGTATGGTGGTTTAGGATTGCTGGGGTGATTCAGTGGAGCGTTTGCTCACTGATAATTCAATTTAGCTGATTTATACCTGCACAGCAGATATTTGTAGGTAGATTAACTTTGAGTTTGCTGGGCTCTGGTATGTGCAGGGCTTAACAATTTAGAGTTGCACATGTCAAAATCTCAAATATAGCTGAGGGGAACACAAGCCTGGGTGAAAAAAAAAACACAGGACTGGTGCTTTTGAAACGTTTTGTTGCTTTTTTTGAGCAACCTGGACTAGTGGAAGGTGTCCCTGCCCAGGGCAGGGGGTTGGAACTGGGTGGGGTTTAAGGTCCTTTCCAACCCAAATCACTCTGTGATTTTATGATGATTTTTTACAGAGGTTGAAAGTAGTTTTGGGGGGTTCAGGAGTTTTCTCTGAGAAAGATAATTCAGGTTTGTTCTTAATTATAGTGAGGATATATCATGCTTTCTGTTCTGTCTTGTTACTTGTTAAAATTTTTTAAATAATAATTTTAAAATTTAATTTTAATTTTTAAACAAAAATAATAATTTTTGTGGGTTTTTTTTCTTTTTTAATTCTCCACAGCCCTTCAGAAGTTATTTCAGCCATGGCATGATCTCAAGCCACATAACAGATAACAGGTATTACTCATTATTCCCTGGGAATTAGTACCTCAGTATGTTATTCCCATATCCCTGATTCCAGAATGCATCAGTTATAATTCCATTTGGGACCATCTCAGTATATCCCATCTCATATTAAATAAAACCAACATGTAAAGGCACTTCCTGGAAGGGTAAAACTGAATTTTCACAGGATTTAACGCTGTAGTTCTTAAACATACAATGTGATTATGTTTCAAACTCTCCACCTTATGCCTTTGATATGATCCATTTCTTCCCTGTTCCATCCCTGGAAGTGTTCAAGGCCAGGTTGGAGCAACCTGGGCTAGTGGAAGGTGTCCCTGCCCATGGCAGGGGGTGGGACTGGATGAGCTTTAAGGTCCCTTCCAGCCCAAACCATGCTGTGATTCCATGAAAAAGTTTTAATTGAAATAGGAAGGTTGTTTGTCTTCTGTTTCAAAACCAAAGTTCAGCTGTTCTGAGTTAAATCAAGTTTTTTTATCTACTTTAATGTCTCTGCAGATTCCTCTTTATTTGGAATAAACCAGTGTCCCCCATTGTTTGCAGCATCCCTTCATGTTTGCCCTGAAATAATGAAAAGACAAACCTTGACCTCTCCAGCTGAGTCTTGGGCCCAAAGCCAGAACTAAACCCAAAATAGTTTTGTTTCATTCCAATACAGTAATTTCAGGGTTTTTCAAGATGGTAAATTTTAAACATAATCACTTTTCAAGGCAGTTTACTTTTAAAAAGGGGGAAAAAAACCCCTCTTCTAATATCATTTGGGAACAGCCTTGAGATTTGTTCTTGTGCTTGAAAGAAATGATCATCTTTTCAATGCAGGCAGCTTTTTCTTTTGGAACTTGGTCTCTACAATGGGAAGCTTTGTGAGCCCTGGTAAAATTCACATCTTGGTCCCTCAGACTCGAAAACTTTAATTTCATTTGTTTTTAAGTTCCCTGCCGAGTATTTTGGTGGTGATTCCCTGTTTCCTCCCCAGCCCCAGCCGGCAGCCCTTTGTCCTGTTTGGCAGCCACTCCACCAAGGAAAACCTGAACTCTGGTAACTTTAATTTTCCATCAGAAGGACACCTTGTTCGAAACACTGGCCTTGGTGGGAGCACTGCCAAGCACATGGTAAGGCTTTGGAGTAGTTACCTGAGATTTTGGAGCTTTTTTTTGGCAGATTTTCTCTTTTTCTTCGTGTGTTTTTTGTGCTTACCTTCCGTGAGTTAAACACCTGATTCTTCTTAACGTAAAAACATGTTAGTTTAACAATTAGTTTAAGGAAGAAATTTCCTTTTCCTTTCTTCTTCCAAGTTATAAGACTGGATGCTTAATCAGGAACTAATGAATGATTTATTTCCTGTAAAAATACAACTTTTTAAACACTTATGTGTGGGGTGGGGGAGAGGGAAATGCTGTTTGTGAGGACATTTCTCCTGGTCATGAAGTGAAACTCTTCTATGATGTATTTAATCCTGACACACATTTGATTTTAATCAGATTTCTTAAGAAAGAAGTGAAAAGACACCTTTTTTTTTTTGATATTAGAACAGAATTTTGTGAATAGACAGGAGATTTTTATGTGTATCCAAATTCCAGCTTGTGTCGATGAAACAAAACTTTCAGCAAGTGTCGATGAAACCGAAACTCTCTGTGGTGTTCCAAGAATGTTCCAATGAATCTGTGGTGTTCCAAGAATGTTCCAATGAATCTGTGGTGTTCCAAGAATGTTGCCATGAAGTTGTAAAGATTAACTTGTTTCCGTTTTCAAGTAAAAGCTTAGTTGGTAAACATTTGATGAGGTCGAAGGCGGCGCAGGGGCCGTGACCGGGGGAGCCACCCCCGGGATTTGGGATCCTCTGGCTGGAGGGGCCTCGTGGCTCCAGAAGGCAACGGGCAGCGAAGGAGGAGAGGTAGAGTGTGGGCACCTCCCTGCTCCCTCCAGGGGCTCCGGGAGTGTCCGACAGTGGTGCGAGTCCAGATGGATGTGGTTGAGTCCAGGTCATCGTGGAGTGGACGGATGAGTGAGGGGATGAGTCCGTGACAACATTCCATGTGCGCTTTCCTCAGGGAATGGATGGACGTGGGTGTTCTGGACACATCAAAAACCTGAGAAAGGATTGTTTTGTAGCATCCTGCTGAAACCTCATCCTCCATCTGCTGCTCTAACACTCTCTCTCTGAAAACACTTTCAACTTTTGTCTTTCCTTCCCCTGATAACATTGAGACCATTTGCTGCCTTTCCGAGTGCGAGTACAGTTTTATTCTGATGTACTTGCTCCGTCTGTTCTCCTCAGATTCTGATGCTGTTCTTAAAAAAGGTGGTTTATTTACAGGTACAGGTGATACTGTTGTAATAGGGTGTCATGAAAATAGTAAATAAGACCAGCATAGTTATGGGAACCTGACCCACTTTCCTCTCCATGAAAAGAGCAGTTGGCATAGGAAATTGAGAACCCAAGTCAGAGCTCATCTCCTTCCCAAAGTCTTTCAACCATTCAGGTCGAGTCAAAAGTGATCTAGACCTTTGAAAACGTAAGTTTGCTTTTTCCAACTCCAGTTCCGTTGTGTGTCGTAAACTTCCTGTAGTTTGTCAGTGCTTAGAGGACTTAAGGGGAACTTAGTTTATTGTCCATTATTGCCCCAATTTGCTTTACTAATGTCTCTTTGTGTCTCATTCATACTGACTACCAGGTAGTGCAGTGTGTGTCTCCCAAGGGACCTCTGGCTTGTTCAAGGACCTATTTTTTTGGGACCAGTCACGTTCCTTTCCTGGGTGAGTACATTAAAAAATGCCGAGGCTGTTACTCTCTTTAATTATTTTTTAATTAAATTTATTTAATTTATTTAATTATTATTTAATTATTAAATTATTTAATTATTTTAATTTAAAATTTGCAGCAATTAAAAGCTGGCTCTGATTCCTTTGTGAGTGGTAGGTGTTGTGTAGTTCTGCAGCCAGGGCATGGGATCGTAGCAGATTTCAGGGGTAAAATGTGTCAAGAGGTGAGTGTTCCACAGAAAATCTGTCAGATCTGACTGTGCAGACCTTTTCCAAACACTAGACAAATATTTAAGTCAATATTCTTTACAGTTTGATAGAAAAAAACTCTCCAAAAATATAGTAAATAGTAATTCAAACTACGTTATCCTAAGATAACTGAGGATTTTTAAAAGAACAGAGGGAATTCTTTCACTCTGTTTTTAATTTTTTAAATTTTATTTAAATTTTTTTTGTTTAAATTTCCCTTATCCTCTGGCTTGGCCCCAACATAGTGGGTTACAACCAGCTGTTTTCCCAAATAAAAACAAGCCACGTGGAATTTTTAAAACCCATTTTCTTCCCTGTTTTAAATGGCTGTAAGAATCCTTGGATGAAGTCAGTCCTTAGGGTTGTTAGGTTGAAACCATAACCAGCTTAGAAAACAGCTGAAGAGAAGATGGTTGGAGCATTGGAATTAAGGATGGATTTGCTGTGCTTGTGCTTTTTCCTGGGCATCCAGGAATGGCCACGTTGGGATACAGGATATGGGGTGAGAGGGATCCTTGTTCTGACCCCCTGCAGCTGATTTTAGGGGACTCAACTCTTAGTCTTGGCTGCCCTGACACAAGTTATGCTTTGCTCTGCTCTAAACCTGCAATCCAACTGCAGCAACAGAAAATCCTGGATAATCCCACATGAAATGTGCAGCAGAAATGTCCCCAAAGTGCTTAAACCAACCCTTTTTTTTTTGTTTTCCTACAGGAAACGACAATGAGGGGCACAAGGAAGCTGATCAAGTGTAAGCTTTTTATATTATTCCTTAACTCTTCTCTCTTTTTGCCTCGTGGCAGTTGGTCAAACCTGCTTTTAGTGGCTGTTGGCATTTGCAGAGACACATTTTTATTCAGAATAATGTGATTGTGAGAGGGTTTCAAAGGCAGAGTGCTCGTGGAGGGTTTCAGTGGGCAAATTAGGAATTTGCTGTGACCATCCCTTCTGCTGTGCAGCAAAGTAGGAAAGGAGATATTAGTAAATGTTGCTAAATTTTAATAAAAAAATTGTTTTAAGTTACTTGAATAATTTTTAAAGGTGCTGCTTATATACCAAGGGGGAAAGTATCTCAAACTGAACGGGAGCATCATCCACAGGCAGAAAGAAAAGGAATTTTCAGACCAGTTTCATTAAGTGTAAGATTTATAGTGAAATGCCAACAGGGAACACTCAAACTTGGGAAGGAATTCACTATGGAAAGTTAGATAAAAGTTAATTTTCCAGCTGGGAAGCTGCAAAGCATTTTAACCTTCTCCAAATCAGAGTGTGTTTATCCATGTCCATGTCCTGCGTGTTGGTAGATCCTGTCCAGCTTTAGGAACATAGAAAATCTGCTCTGGTCCTGCTCTCTCCCTCTCTCTCTTGACAAACCAGACCTTTCCTTAGAGATTTTGTCCTCCTTGGGAGTTGGGATCATTTCAGGAGCCTGGATTTGCTTCTGCAAACCTACCTGACCTGTTAGCAAGAGATTAAAGATGTGTCAGTACTTTAATACTGAACTACCGTTGATTTTTATATAATTTAATACTGTTCTCAAAGACATAAAAGTGGAATTACTGCCCTGAGCAGCAGATTTGTCCTTTTTTTATAGTAAACTGAACTCCAACAGGTAATTTTTCTGCTCAAACATTTCTTGTCCCACCTCTAAAAGACTTTGAATACATTTCTAACCGAGATGAGTAGAGAAGCTGTAAACAAAGCAGTTGATAAAGGCAGTGTTTTTATAAGAATATCTTTTCTCTTGGAAGCATCCCTGTGTTGGATCAAATAATCCACAACAGCAGAATAATTAGCTTTTTTGGCAAACCTGATCTCAGGATTTTGGGCTTTTTTTTGCAGCTGAGTCCTGTAACTGCTTCCTATATTTGTCAATATTTTCATAAGCAACATTCAGTCCAAATTTGGCTGTGTTTAGGAAGCAGGACTGCAGCTTGGCTGGAATGCATAAACTGCACCTCTGAGGATAAACTGGGGTAAACTTTGTAGTTTTATGTTTTTTTCAGAAAATGCCATTCTGTGTTTTGCGTTGTCAGTGTTAAAATTTCAAGGTGGGAAGAAGAGTAAAGTATTTATACTGATACACTAATATTAACTATTAATGACTGATGGAAAGCACAGCCCACAGAGGTGTTTCCTTGCAAATATTTAGGTGAATTTGAGGGAAAATAGGAATGGTCACAGAGTTAGGAAGAATTAGACACGTCTCCCATACCAGATGCACTGAAAATACATTGACTGCATATTTAGTCCATGAAATTACACGGAAGAAACCTGAAAAAGTAGTAAGAAGTTTGCATTTTAAAATTACTTGGTGCTATTAGGGGTGATCCGAGTCAGGCTTTGGTGCATTTTGAGGTCCCTCCACATTTGGGAGCTTCAGGTGCTCTTCTCCCATCCGTCAGGAACGTTTGCATATGGCTTCAATGCTGGATCCTCCTCTTTCCTCCTCCCTCTCCCCTCCCTTGACACCAAGCAGTGGCAGAGGAGTAATGAGAGGAGTTAAAATTTGGGCAAGTAGGACTTTTTGGTCGATTTGCACATCTTTTAGTTGTAATTCAGCAGGAATTTTGAACCAATGTTTCTTAGTTGGGAACAAGTGGGTTTTTTTCCCAGTTGTTCTGGAGCTATAAATGTCTGAAGGTCACTCTTGGCTGGTTTATTTCTGGACAGTTTTTTCAATTCCCTTTTAAGAAGGGAACAGGACTAAGCTGTGGTGTGGATGTCATGGAATCCTGGAATGGTTTGGGTTGGAAAGGACCTTAAAGGTGATTGAGTTCCAGGCCCTTGCCATGGGCAGAGACACCTTCCACTAGCCCAGGTTGCTCCAAGCCCCATCCAACCTGGCCTTGGACACTTCCAGGGATCCAGGGGCAGCCACAGCTTCTCTGGGCAACCTGGGATAGGGCCTCACCACCCTCCCAGCCAGCAATTCCTTCCCAATATCCCATCTATCCCTGCCCTCTGGCACTGGGAAGCCATTCCCTGTTGTCCTGTCCCTCCATCCTTTGTCCCCAGTCCCTCTCCAGCTCTCCTGGAGCCCCTTCAGGCCCTAAAAGGGGCTCTCAGCTCTCCCTGGAGCCTTCTCTTCTCCAGGGGAACCTCCCCAGCTCTCCCAGCCTGGCAGTGCCAGGTTGTTGCTCCTTTCATGCCCTTCAGAAGTTGCCTCCCTTGGGCAAACAATCAGTGACTCAGATTATCTGGAGGACTTTGCCTGTGCTGCCTTTCCAAGGCTGATTCCAAGGAGACTGATTGCACTGAAATGGAGCTCCCTAAAACAATGGGATGTGATTCTTAACACAACTGCAGTGAAAGTCAACAGGAAAACATGTTTTTATTCTTGCCTGAGCAGGGCTGCATTTGTCTCAGGAGGTACCTCCCCAAAATATTCTGTAATTCGAGCAACTCCCTCGCTCTAATTTAATTTTCTCAAACCAAAAGCTTAATTATAAACCTACTTCTGCACTCATTTGAGCCAGGACCCCTTTTTTAGTAAGAGATTTGTGCAATGAGAGGAAGAACTGCTCCTTTAGGCAGAGGAGGAAGAAAACTCTCCGTGTGTAGTAAATGTTGTGTTTGGTTCTCTCTTCAGTGCTCTGTTGTCGCAAATCTATTCTGCTGTTGTAGAGGCTGTGCTTGCTGGCATTGAGTGCTATGCTAAAACTTCCACTGAATCCAAGGTAAATGAAGCCCCCCCTTCTCTCTCTCGTTGTTCATTTGGATTGCTCACGCTGTGCCATGACATGCAAACCCAAATTAAACCCAGAGGAGAAACCCTTAAACCCAAAATAATGTCGTGGTTCGTCTGCGTAACACAAAGTTCAGCCCGTGGCCTCCAACCAGTCTCTGAATTCTGCTTAAAAAAAACCACGTTTCAGAGTGTTCCTGTTATCCACCTACAATATTTTGCCATCTTTCATGAGTTTTCCTGTGAAAGAACAAATTTTAGCCTGGTGCATCAGTGTGTTCCTGTTTAGTGTCTCGTTTATCTCGCGGGTGCTCCTGTGGTTGCTGGGATTTTGGAAAAGGATGGGTGGGGAAAAGGGGTTTCATCCTCCACTTCCTTTTCTTTTTCAGGCAAAGGAGGTGGCAGAGCAGGTGCTCATGGCTGTGTTAGACACCCTTTGCTTGACACAGCTCAAATCTGCTTTACGGTGGGTATTTCCTACAGTTCTTGATTGATCTCTTGTCTCCATGGGGAAAAATATCAAATATATCAAATATATCGGGGAAAAATATATCAAATATTGCTTTAAAACTAGCTACCAAACACTTCATGATGCATTCAGGCTTTTAAAATAATTATAATTATTCCACTTTCTTACTTTTTTTATCACTTCAGTTGTTTTGCTTCAAATCTGCCTTTGTTATTTTTTCACGTGTAGAAGAATTCTAAACAACGTGTTTCACCAGTGCAATTTCTCTTCCTGCAGCTCCAAAATTGCTTTTCAAATTCAGGCTGTGAACAATCATGGAAGGTTTGTATCGCTGCCTTAGACTTCTTGTTATCAATTAGTGCTTTTAATACTGTGATAAATTTATTTTTCTTCTCTTAGAACTTCTCTGAGAAAACTTTGCACTTGATTATTTCACCCGAGATGTGCAAAAGGCTTTTGTGGATGAGAGAGTTGAATGATTTCGTATCTGTAATTCTGTGGAATCCTAAAAACATTAAAAAAAATAAAAAGCAATGGGGCAGAGCAGTTTTATTAACTGCTAATGAGTAGAAGCAGCATGAGCTCATTAAGAGTTTCCTTTTAAAATTTGCTTTTAACTTGGTTGATATCACAAGCTTGTGCTTCTCAACCCCCACTCTGTCTAATTGAAATGGCCTCCACAAATAAAAGCTTATTTTAAAATAAAATAGCTTTTTTTTTGGCTGCTTTGGAGCCTCTAAAAATGATGTAACTTCTAAATATTTAATTGTCATTGTCGTTCTAGAATTACCCCGTTAGATAACGAGGACAGCCTGAGTTTGATCAAAACGGTGAGTAAGCTCTTCATTATTTATTATTATTGGTTTTATTTTATTTGTATGGCTTTATTAGAAAATAAAGCTCATGTGGCAGGTTTTTTGGGGCGTGTTGAGACCTTTATCTCTGTGAACATAAGTGTAAGAGGAGATACAAGAGATGCTGCAACAGGTTTAATATTAAGTCAGACCATGGAAATCGGAATAAAACATTAACGTTAATTAAGGTTTATGATCTCAGACTTTCCACCACTGTAGAGAAGTGCTTGTTTGGGGTGCTTAAAACACACAGATTTCGCTGTTTCACTTGAAATATTTCAAGTTGTGCTTTCCCTTCCCTCCCCTCCAACCCTGGGATTGCTGCAGGCGTCCATGATGGTGTTTGACATTCCCGACTTGCTCACGGGAAGAGGATGTTTGGGATCTGTTGTGTTTTCAGAGTCCTTTCTGACATCACAGATACAAGTCAAAGAAAAAGGTGAATATTTGAAGTTCTGAGTGTCATTCTGTTGGCTTGGCTGTGCTGGAAGAGCACAGGGGATCCCAGTGGATGTTGTTGCTGTTCCCCTGATGGGTTTGGAGCACTTTTGGGGGGAAGGAGAGCAAAGGAAGAAGCCACATAAACACCAGAATAAATCAGGGCTTCTCTGCAATTGTCTAACAGCTCTGTGTCTGTCAGAGCACAAGAAAACTGGGAGTTAGGCTGTTGTGACTTCACTTAAACACTCACAAATCCATAAAGCAATGAGAACATTTTCCTATTTCCTAAAGAAATTTCAGCTCTTAAAAGCAACTTATTGGACAGTCTGAAGTACGTGGGTGGAATTATGGTTTGGTGGGCGTGGTGGTGTTAGGTCTGAGGTTGGATTTGATGAACTTGGAGGGCTTTTCCATGATTGTCCTGCTTTGCTTCCACGTTTTTCCCTGCAGATGGCAGCATTACTCCAGAAACCAGCCACGTTATCCTGACTGCAGGAATCCCGAGGTTCACGTCCTGGCTGGTGAGTCCACACACACCCACCTGGCTTTATACACCAGGGAACACTTGTTAGGGAAGGATGGATGGAGGAGGGAAAATACAGAACTTGGGCATTGAAGCAGAATGTTAATATGTGAATCTGTTCTGATTTTTGAATTTGGACACGGAGTGAAACACTAATGGGTGGAAACAGGCTGTGGATCCATTCTTTACACAGGTTTGAAATCATTTTTAGCAGTTACAAATATAACAGAGGGTAACTTCTGGCAAATTCTGTTTATTGTGAGGCACTCTAGATCACCCCACCAGGAAGCAAGGTCTGATTCCAGCCCTCTAATGTGCTACCCTGTGTTAGAGGCAGAATTCCAGTGAATTTAATAAAGCTGGGCAACCTTCTGCCTTTGGCAACCCATAATTTACCTGTAGTGTAAAATAAGACTGGATGGAATACACTGTTTTCTGTCCATACAATAGTATTTTAGTCTGTAAAACATTTATTGGGGAGAATGTTGTGCATTTAATTTCATGCAAAGAACTGTTTTGGTCCCATAATAACACAGTATTTAGAGCACAAAACTGCCTTTGCAGCACTCTGGGCTTGTCTGCCTCTGGTACCTGAGGTTTCTTGTTTTCCTCAAAACTTCCTTAATGCTTTTTATTTAGCATTACACTGCCTTTATTTGACTTGTTTTATTTGACATTAGACTTGCTCTGTGTAACTCACTTTATTTCACATTAGCCTTGCTTTATCTGTGGTATAAATCACAATACAAATGGAAACTCTTTCTGGTTCCAGGTTGAAGACAGTGATGTGAAACTCTCTGAAAAGGCACAGCACGTGTTGAAGGTAAAACAAAACATTTTTGTTAAACCAAAGAAGTTACACTTTCATAAACCACTGTTCAAAAAAACTGAGCCCCTACCAAACTGTCTTTTATTTTGTGTGTTATTTCTCTCCTACAAGGCTTGCCTGTTCTTTGAAACTCTGACCTATAAAAAGTACATTGTGTGTAAAAGTCTGAGGGTTTCTTTCTGTCAAAGGATGACAAACCCCGAGGGCAAAAAGAGTTCTAATAAAGCTACAAATTCATGGAAGTCTCACTCACCATTACTCCTGGAGCTCATGTGTTCCCAAAAAACCCCCACAACTCAATGCCACTCTACATACAAACTTTCTTTTAACTTAATTAGCCTGCTAAACGTCTAAAGGAAAACACTCCGGAAAGAAAAAGGCCTTTGGAATCTGGGAACATCTTAAATCACATGAGTTTCACATTTGTGGTTGAATTTGCGGTTCCCGGGAATGTTCATTATAAGTAGATTCATTTTCCTGTGCTGTCCTTTTAGCTCAGGGGATTTGACAAACTGCAAACACAAAAAAAGCTCTGCCCTGTGGTTGTGACAATGGCTTGGAACTTCACAGCTGCTGGCAAAGCCAAAATGGGGGGAAAGGCTTTTCCAAAACCATCCTGCCACTGGCCCTGCTGCATCCAGGATAAAACTCTTTAATTTTATAAAGTTCTGAGGGGTGCTGTTTAAAAGAAAAACCTTCTCTCTTGGAGCAAACACATGAGAAAGTGTCCTGGTCCTTGATCCAACCTGTGATGTTGCTGTTTGTTTGTTCCTGTCCAGGAGGATAAATCTTTCCTGGGCACTTTACTCACTGGAGGGGATGGAGTGTATCTTTGTTCCAGCAATCCACAGGCCATGCCTGCAGAAGGTGAGATGTGCTTGGGGTTTTGCTTTTTTTTTGTTGGGTTTTTTTTGTGTGTTTTTTTTGTGTGTGTGTGTGTGTTTTGTTTTTCTGTTTTTATTTTGTTTGGGGTTTTTTTGTTTGGTTGGTTTTGGGTTTTTTAGGTGTTTTTTTTTAGTTTTTTAAACAAAAGAGACACATTTTCTGGGATTCACACTTCTGGTGAGCCAAACTACACCATCACCTTAAGCTTCCTTTCCATTTGCCTTCAAATTCCATCTGTTGTTCTATTTATCCTCAGCCTCTGCTTGAAACTCCTAATCCTGGAAGGAGGATTCCTCTAGGCTTGCTTTGGATGGACAGTGAGGCTTTGCAGACCTGGGAGATGCCTTTTTTCAAAACATGCCCAAAATGACTGTTTCTGTCCTTAAAAGATGATGTGCCAGATATTTCCTGCCTTTTCTGTATCTATATGAACATGAGGTTGGAAAGATTGGGCATTACAGTCCTTCCAGCTCAGGAAATGAAGGCAAATATGGACCTTTACACTGCCTGTGATGTAGGAGGGGATGTTATAAACTCATTTACAGCCTTGTATTTGCTCCTACCAAAAACTCTTCCCGGAGCTGATGTGCTGTTCCCGCTTTTTCCATTCTATTTTCACTCAGGAATTCAGTGTTTCCCAGCACAGGTTCTCACTGTGCTGCAGGAAGATGCATGATCTTGGTTCTTCTCAGATTCAATCCAATTACTGCTTTCTGACACAAAATAAATTATAGGAATCTTGGACTATTCCTCCTCTTTTGGCACCTTTTCCTTCAAGAACTTAAGGGAACGTGAATATCCCAGTAATACAACTAAAGACAATTTGAGTTGTTGGGAAGGTTTTCCCTCCCTTCCCTTCCTGGTGCCTTGAACAGATATTTTTAAGGCCTAATATTTGATATTCCAATGTATAGAGAATGTGCAGTTGTGTCAGTGCTGATGTACAACAGAGATGATGAATATCTGACGTGAAGTTCTCAGCACGAGCTGATGATCTTCAGAGGAGAATCTTCAGCTTTGTAGTTCTGCCATGTGGTGTCCAGGATAAATAATGAGGTACAAGGCAATTAAAAAGCAACTGTCACACAGAGGAATCTGCTTTTGCTTTTTTTAAAGCAAAAATCTTCATGCAGAATATGATATTTGGCTGTTTTGCTGTGGGCACGTGTGCACTCAGTAAATAACGAGAGAACAGTGGCATTTTTTTGGCTCTGTTAAAATTTGTTGTTTGTGCTCCAGTGGAGCAATTTACTTATCCCCTTTTTCTTTGTGGGGAGGAGGTTTATGGAGTTAAATGTCTTGATAACTTCTGGGTTGGAGGGTTCCAATAGGTGGTATCAGGACTGTTATGTGAGTGAGGGGTTAAATCAGTGGGTGAGGGATTTTCTTGGCTCTCCAGTGAAAATGAAGTTGAGCTCGTTCCCTTTTTGTTGTGCTCAAATTTGGGCTCTGCTGAGGTTGCAGCTCTGTGGTCTGGCACTATTGGGTGCAAAAGGTGCATAAAATCATGGAATGATTTGGATTAGAAAAGACTTTAAAGCCCATCCAGTCCCACCATCTGCCATGGGCAGGGACACCTTCCACTAGCCCACATTGCTCCAACCTGGCCTTGGACACTTCCAGGGATCCAGGGGCAGCCACAGCTTCTCTGGAAATTTATTCCAGTTTCTTACCACCCTCACAGGGAAGGATTTCTTTCCAATATCCAACCTAAATCTTCACTTTTCCAGTGGGAAGCCATTCCCTGTGTCCTGTCCCTCCATCCCTTGTCCCCAGTCCCTCTCCAGCTCTCCTGGAGCCCCTTCAGGCCCTGCAAGGGGCTCTCAGCTCTCCCTGGAGCCTTCTCTTCTCCAGGGGACCCCCCCCAGCTCTCCCAGCCTGGCTCCAGAGCAGAGGTGCTCCAGAATCATGGAATGGTTTGAGTTGGGACTGTCAGTCCTGCTGATTCCACGCCCTGCCATGGGCAGGAACACCTCCCACTAGCCCAGGTTGTTCCAGCCTGGCCTTGGACACTTCCAGGGATCCAGGGGCACCCACAGTTTCTCTGGGCAACCTGTGCCAGCGCCTCCCCACCCTCCCAGCCAGGAATTCCTTCCCAATATCCCATCTAACCCTGCCCTCCTTCAGCTTAAGGCCATTTTCATTAAAACAAAACCTTAATACTGAACAACTTTGAAGATCTCATCCCAAGCTGCCATTCCAAGTGGAAAGCATCTTAGATTCTTTATTATTTCTTCCCAGCCTTTTTCAGGGAGCTGAGCAGGCACTTTCAGCCATATATTTTAGTTACTTTGACTTTTCTGAAATGTAACCGAGTAAAATCTGTTTGTTTTTTTCTTTTTTCTTTAAAGAAAATATTTAACTTTTCCCTTTTGCTGACTCACAAACTTCCCTGTGTGGGATGTGATGCTGCTTTTAAATGCAGAGGGCCAGCTGGCAGCCCCTGCTCAGACATTTGTTCATGGCTTTCTGAAGCCTGTCAGAAATCAGCTGTTTGCTGATACCAGTTTCTAACACTTTGATGGAATTTTCTTTTATCCATTATCCCACTCAGCTTTGCTGTTTCTCATTTCCAGCTGCTCTCCTTCATGCAGGTTTGTTAAGAACCAAAATTTAAATGTTATAAATGTTGAAGGGGAATATTTAAACAGTGTTTAAATTTTAAAATTAACTTTTCAATTTAAATTCCAAGGTAGTTTTTAATTTAAAACTTAATTTTTAAGTTAATTTTTTCCCTTTAAATCAAACTTAAACAGTGTTTGATTTTGCCATTTGAACTATTTGTTCCATTTAAATTTTGAGTTGTTTGGGATGGAAGCTTTTCTTAAATTCTTGTATTGTCAGTCTTATATTTCTGGAAGTTTGAAATTCAAAGGGATGAAATTTTTTTAGCTTTTAAAGAAAAAAAAACACCTCAGAATATTTATGATAAAGAGGCTCTGGGGGGTAAAATGAAGCCAAATGCAATCGTAGTGATATATAAAAACCAAAATCCTGCAGGATCATGGATTTTTTTTTCCTCAGAAAGGAATGACATTCACCACAAGGTGCTGAAATATTGATATATAACTAATATAAATCTTTTTCCTCTCAAATTGTAGGTAAACTGCACTTCTTTTCTGATGGCATCCTCTTTGCTCATCCCCACCACGGCAGCATTTCCATTTCCAAGAACCACATGAGTTCCATCTCCCTCTATGATGGGGTGAGTGTTTGGTCTGGTTTTACTGCCATCAACTCTTTATCAATCTTTAACAATAATTCTGTAGAGCCCTGGTGCAAAATCTCTGTTTCAGCCCCATTTCTTATTTCAGTTTTACCTGTGTCTGTACAACTGTAAGAACTGATGCAAATCTCCACACTTTTGGTGCTGATTAACCTAAGAAATCAGTGATTAGTGAGTAAAGAGGAGGGAATTTTGTATTAATCTGGGTGAGCAGTTTGATGTTAATAGTGTGAAAATTGCTTTTGATTCAAGGAAAAATTGCAGAGCGTGACATTCATAAAACATCCACCAGTGTGAAGGGGTGGACAGAGGAAAGGTCGAGGTGTTCTGATGTCATGGGGTGTTTTGGGAGGGTGAAATGCTGCCTTTTATTCCCATTATATTTGAATATCACTTGTTGTGGCTCAGTGGGAAGCGAGAGGTCCGTGGTGGCAGCTCAGCTGATTTTTCCTGCTCAAGGCAGACCCTCTGGGTTTAACTAGCACTTCTTCAGAGTGCAAAGGAAATTATTTGGGTTGGTTACTGTTCCTTAAAGTGGGGAAAAAAACCCAATTTCCTTTAGTTTCTCTTTTGTTCAGGTACCTCCATGTAGGATTTCATCCTTTAATCCAGGAAAGCAGTGACACATAGAATCATAGAATCATAGAATCACAGAATCAGCTGGGTTGGAAGGGACCTCTGAGATCATCAAGTCCAACCCTTGATCCAACCCCGCTGTGGTTCCCAGCCCATGGCACTGATGCCACATCCAGTCTCACCTTAAAAACCTCCAGGGATGGAGAATCCACCACTTCCCTGGGCAGCCCATTCCAATGGCTGATCACCCTCTCTGGAAAGAAATTCTTTCTAATCTCCAACCTAAACCTCCCCTGGCACAGCTGAAGACCCTGAGCCCTCTTGTCTTGCTGAGAGTTGCCTGGGAAAAGAGACCAACCCCCCCTGGCTCCCCCCTCCTGTCAGGGAGTTGCAGAGAGTGATGAGGTCTCCCCTGAGCCTCCTCTTCTCCAGGCTGAACAGCCCCAGCTCCCTCAGCCTCTCCTCATAGGACTTGTGCTCCAGACCCTTCCCCAGCCTCGTTGCTCTCCTCTGGACCTGCTCCAGGACCTCAGTGTCCTTCCTGAACTGAGGGGCCCAGAACTGGACACAGCACTCGAGGTGTGACCCCAGTGTGTGATCCAACTGAGGTGCAAACACACCAGCACAGGGAATCTCACCTGAGCTGCCTTTCCTTGGGCATCACTGGCTGCCCCTTGTAGTTTAAGAAGCTATTTTAACACTGACCTTCCTTCTATTGTTTGAGTCAAGACACTCACTTTCAGAGAGCCTGCTCTTTCTGGGACCTGGCCATCCCTGCTGAACTGGTGCCAGATTTTTGTGTGAGGCCAAGACTTGACAGAGAGAATATTGTTGTTCTACTGACTTGGCATAATGCAAGGGTGGAGGGTTTGAACTGTTCACAAGCGACAGGAGAAGCAGGGTAATTGTTACTTCCTTTTTTCCAAGAGTTACTGCAACAGTATTAATGGAAAAAGAAAGGATAATTTAATGCTGGGCTTCAAATAAAAGACAAAAATGCTTGAAGTGGTGCAAAGTGCAGGTTTTTAGCAGCTCTGTCACCACGTTCTGCTTTTTAACTTGAAAATATCAACATGGAGAAACTGGGCACAAAGCTGCTCCTGAGCTCCTGAAATCCTCGAGGCTCATGGACATGGATACAGAGTAGATTTTGACCGTTCATCAGCAAATATTACCAAGTAATATTTAGATTTCACACCATCAACATCTTGTAAAACTTGGGACCAGATCCTTTTAACGTCCTGTCCATGGGGATTATTGCTGCTGCTTTTCTGCTTTTTTCAATTTTGTGGAACCCCAAATGTTTTCCAGGAGGAGGAGCACATTTGTTGGACACTTCACAGGTGTATGAGTTGGCCTTTCAGCCACACCCCAGGAAATCTCTGGGCCATCCTGCAGAATGCAGGATCTGTGGGTTCTTAGTCCCAAAAGCTGTTTTCTCTTAAGAGAAATTGTTCTCTTGTAGGAGAATATTTTTTGTATGTTCCTCCCTCACCTCAGTGACTTTGAGAGGATTATTTTTATAATTAATCCCTCAGTCAGCAAAGGATGAAGATTCTGTTTGCAAATGAATTGATACCAGTTCTTATGTAACAGTTCCCCAACTTGAGCTTTTTCTTCTCAAGAATTAGTACATTGGGTTCCTTGCCCAGTTCTCCTGTTGACAGGGAGGTGGATGATATTCACTTTCTGGTTTGAACCCTAAGGCATGAAATCCCTGTTTCCCAGGGATGTTTCATGCTGGCAAATTGTCCTGATTTTGTAATACTTTGATATGAAAAGAGTTACAAGTCAAAGCTTGAGCCTGTCTTGAAATCCAGAATCACAGAATCGTGGAAACGGTTTGGGTTGGAAGGGACCTTAAAGCTCTTCCAGTTCCAACCCCTGCCATGGGCAGGGACACCTTCCACTAGCCCAGGTTGCTCCAAACCCTCTCCAACCTGGCCTTGGACACTTCCAGGGATGGGGCATCTAATCTGGGAAAAACAAATGAAAAAACAACCCCAAAAAAACCAAAGGTCAATGTTTTATAGAACAAAAATCAGACAACCTGAGTTCAGTGCTTCTGAGGGAGACACAACCTGTGGGCTTCAGGGTCCTGTTGGTGAAGACAATTCAGATAAAAAAGCAAGAAATTTAATAGAACTTGTACTCAGTAAAGAATCTGAGAGAAAAGGGGCACTTCCAGCATGCAAGTGAGCTGCACTTTGAATGACAGACCTGAGAGTTGTGTCTTGTGCCAGAATGGCCCGTGTCAGGTCAGAAACTCAACAGCACAGTGCAGAAAGTTTGCAATAGCACCAAACTTCCAATCTTTTTAGTTATTTTTAAGCATTTCAGTCATTTTAGGTGGCATTTCATTCATTCTCCACATGGTGTCTGTGTCAGAGGCGTGTGGGTGTGGATGAAGAAGAGTTTGTTGTGAAGCATTAACAGAAGAAAGGTCTTTTTTTTTTGAAGGGGGAAAGAGTGGATATTAAAAAACAAGCTTTTCTTTTCAAGGCAAGACAAAACTTAGGTGTTTAGAAGCATCTCAAATCCTTTATTTTAAGCTTCTGATATCTCCAGAGGCTGCAGAGTAGGAATTCAGGGGGGCTGTAAGTGGCTTCAGTTGACCCTCGTGCTCCATCCCTGTGCCATGGAAACTCAGGAATGCCCAGCTCTTTATGCCTGGGGGTGACTGTAACAGTTTTTTTCTCATCTCTGCTGTTTAATGCATGAAGCCTTTTTTTCCACTTCCAAGAACTGTTAATGACAACTTGTCCTGTTTTTCCCATTTCTAGGATTCGAACAGTGTTGTTGCTGCTCTCTTCATAGACTTCAAAAGTTCCCTGCTTCCTCACCTCCCAGTTGAATTCCATACCCAGAACAACTTTCTGATGATTGCACTTTTCCCCAAAAGAAAGATTTATAAAGCTTTTTACTCACAGGTAAAGGAAAAAAAAAAGATTGGTAAGCTTTTCTTAAGTTCTTGTATTGTCAGTCTTATATTTCTGGAAGTTTGAAATTCAATGGGATGAAATTTTTTTAACTTTTAAAGAAAAAAAACCACTTCAGAATGTTTATGATAAAGGGGGGTAAAATGAAGTCAAATGCAATCATAGTGATATATAAAATAATATATAAATTATGGGGAACCCCATAATGACCATGTTTAAGATGAGACACAAGGGTGAGTTTGGTGCCTGTATTAACTAAGTTTGGAGGGAAGGGGTTTATGTCTCACACAAATTGAGCCACTAAAGCTTGTTGCCTGATGAGTAAATACAGGAAGAGTTAAAATTGAAGGCTTTTCTTCCATCAGTCTTCACAAACAAAACCTTTTCATTGTAGAATCAGTATAAAATCTGCTGCTTTGGGATCTCCAGAGTCTCTTTTCCAACTGGGAACTCTGATTCTTTGTGTGACCTGTGACATCTGCCTTGCAAACTCAAGCTTCTCAAGGGCCAGACCTTCCCAGGAGTGTTATTGCTCCTGATCTCAGGAACTTGCCTGTGTGAGAAGCTTGAATTTGTGTCTGGATTTCCAGGGTGGGTGGTGTTTGTGCAGTTTAATGCTCCCCATGTGCTTCCCTTTGCCTGCTCCGAGAGCTCCTTTCCTGGGAGCTGCATTTCCATGTGTTCCATTGGCTGCAGCAATTCCATGCAGTGGCAGAGCTTCTATTGTGTGTGGGGGATTTTTTTGTGGTCACACACATTGGGATCCCTGTTCTTAGGGAAGTTCTGTGGAAGGCTTTAAGTCTCCCATATGGCATTGTGTTATTCCCTAAATGGATTGGCTTCATTCAGAGTGCTGCAGAGGCTTTTAATAAACACAGCTTTGGAACAATGGTGCTTTTGAGGAAACGAGCCTGGAGATTTTAGGACTTCACAAGGGCTTTTTAGGATGTGATCATCACACTGGACTGGGAAAGACCACCTAGCTCAGTGAGTAGTCCCCACTGGAAGTATTAATGGCACCATAAAATGTCCCCTCCTTTTATCTTAAGTGTTTAAATTCCTCCCACTGTTCCACTCTGTGAATGGTTGGGAATCTGTTTGTTTGGTTTGGGATTTTCAGCCTATTTTATGAGTTCTACTTTTATATCTCTTTTATTTTTCTCCCCTCTCCCAGCACACACCCTCGAGATATCCAGAAATTTCAGACCTATTCTTTCTGCCTTATTTGGCCTAATAAAATAAAACCAGATCCTTTTTAATCTGTGCCTATAAAAAGTTCTCTTTTCTTCTGAATGTCTTAGTGCTTTTCTTTTGATCTTTTTTTTTTTGACTGTAGACATCCAAACTGTGTGCAGTGTCTGAGATCACAGAATCATAGATGAGGGGGTTTGTTTCCTATACAGAGGCATTAACAATTCTCTGCTCTGAAAATGTTCTGAGGTCCCCTTGGTTTGCCTTTACTTTTCACTGCTGCCTTGGATTCATGGATTCACAGACCTTCAGGTCCTTCCTCTCTTGCAGCTGATTTTAGAAACATTTCTTGCTTTTATGCTTACCTTCCTCTTATTTTTCCTTCCATTTCCTCCCAGAATGTTTCTTGCCTTCTTAGATTTACTTTTCTATGAGGCATCTCCCAGCTTAGCTCCCTAAAATGCTGTCAGTTCACTTCAGCCTCCCAAATTCATTGCAAAGGATATCCCAGGGCATTCCCTAAACAACTCTGCTGCTGGACTCCCCAGCCTCTGCTGCTATTTATCCCTGTCCTCCCTTGAATTCACTTTTTGCCACACAGGGGTTCAATTTCTGCAGTTTTAAGTTTCTTATCTGGCCCTACACCAGTTGCTTTGCTAAAATTCAAGTCAATAAAACAAATCCTTTTGTCTTAAAGATGTTCCCTCCTGAACAAAAACTCTCCCTCAGGTGGAGTGCCCCTGACTGTGTGAGCTGTGGAAACTCATTATTGTGGTTTGTCAGTTTTTACCTTCAGATATTTATTGATTTGCACCAAAATTCTTTCTATAAATCCACGTGCCCTTGAAGTCTCACAGATCACAAGGATTCACTAAGATGGAGGTGCTGGTTTTACTCTTCTGAATTATCAGACCTCACTTCCTGGACCTGTGCTTGGATTATTCCAAGCCTCCTGGAAACAGGGAATGGCAGTTACCTGTTCCTGCAGACCTGGGTTTATTAAAAACTGAGATGGTGGCAGGATTTTGAGCACACAGAGCTGAAATCTGGTTTTACAAATCCTGTGAAAATGGGACAAAACCTTTCACATCCTCCCTCTGATGGGTAAGGGAGGAAGATTTTTTCAGGCTTTGGGATGTGTTGCTTTCCCTTGTTTTCTCCCCCTTCTCTAAAGCTGCAGCAGCTCTTTTGCCTGACCTGTGTTTTCACTTCATCCCCAGCCCTTTTCCTCCTCCAGAATACAATTTTCCCTTCTTCCCATCCCTTGGAGGCATTTCTTTTAGTCTCTCCTACATCTTTTGAAGTGGCTGGGTTTTTTTGGGGTTGCCTGGATCTTTCTGCACAGGCAATATTGCCTTTGTTCAGATCAGAGAGATCTTTTATTTTGATGGTTTTTTATCTCCTCCCCTGGTGTTTGGGATGCTGATTTGTTAATGGGAAGCAGTTGTCTCCCCTCCAAGTTGTTTTGTCTCGCAGAAAGTTATTGTGAGAAATGACAATGGCTGTTGCCTTTTCCTTAGGAAAAGAAGGGAAATACCGAGCACTGGCTGTGTGATTCATCTGAATCTGATTTCTAGGTTCACAGTGCCAGTCAGATTAATGTGCCTTGGCTGGAGCAACGGGATGGGAGCCAAAACATCATTCCCTGGAGGAACCAAGGGCTCCCTTTGCTTTTGGGAAGGAGCAGAGTTTTTCTTAAATGTCTAGAAATGTTTGCTGCAGTCTCACCTCATGAAAATGATAATAGTACTTAAAAGAGACTTGAATTAATTCAATTCCTGCTGTTCAGCACTTGGGTTAGAAACACCTACATTTTTATCAGGGAAAACTGAAGCATTTCAGTAAAGTTACTTCTTAAAGCAGCTCCAGCCCAACCACAGAGGTCACAAAATCTGATCTGTGGAGACTTTTGCCATCATTTGAATTCATGGAATGATTTGGGTTGGAAGGGACCTTAAAGATCATCCCATTCCATCCCCTGCCACGGGCAGGGACACCTTCCACTAGCCCAGGTTGCTCCAAGCCCCATCCAACCTGGCCTTGGACACTTGCAGGGATCCAGGGGCAGCCACAGCTTCTCTGGGCAATTCTTGCAGCAAACCCATTATTGTGCAATATTTCATAGCCGGTGAAAATGTGAGCAAAAGCAATCCCTGAACAAATGGAAAGCAAATTTGGAAAAATAACGATGCTCATGCCCAGCTCTGCTTTGCTCCAGGTTTTCTCCTCGTGGCAAAACCAGACAAGCTCAGGATTATCTTTAAGGGTTGTCCAGGAAGAATTCCTGTCTGTGGAACAAAAGAGAATGTAAGTTGATGCCAGTGCAGTGCAATTCCACAATGAACTGTGTGCTACAGTCAGAAAAATGCTGTTACTCATTGATTTGGATAAAAATTAAAAAAAGAATTGTTGCCTTCTTAGTTCAACACTCACTTTATTTTTTTTTGTACTATTTAATATGTAACCACGTGGTTTAAAGAACATAAATGTTTAGATTTCTCCTTTAACTAACTAATTAATTAATTTGCTTCTTTTAGGCATTCCAGTGTTCAGAAGCTCTTTAATGCCTTGTCTTTTCCTTCTGGGGAAAGATGCAGGGAGCTGAAATTATCCTCTGCCCTTCCAGAATTGGAGAGGTGAGAAGTTATTTTTGTGTTCAAGGGATGAGTTTTGTCAGAAACGACACCAAATTATTTTGGTACGTGTAGTCACCTAAAAATTGCTTATTAAATAATTCTTAAATCATTCTGTTGTGAGACAAATTCTTTCCTCTCTAGCCTGACCTTTGAATAATCTTATTTTAGCGATTTCCCGGCTATTTTTACGAATGAAATCTTTTGCTCGTGGCTGTAAAGAAAATAAAACCTTTTATTTTCTCCAGGTTTGTGAGACATTTCGCCATCAGCAGCGTCAGCAACAAGCCAGTGGTGAGGGCACATCTCCCTGTTTTATTGCAACAGCCAGAAACCACTCCTGAGAGCAAAGCAGAGAGTGAGAAGGTGAGGACAATAATGATAATAATAATAATAATTATTATTATTAAATATGAACTCTTAATTAATTAATTAATTAATTTATTTATTTATTTAACAAATGTTGCCATTAGTGTCATAAAAGCACTGCTGGATGTCCAGCCATGCTCTGTCCCCTCCTCCAGCACCACCAGCTCCCACTGAACTGGTTTCTTAGGATAAGAATGATTTTCCTGGTTACGTATTTAGTTTTTTTTCCCTGCTTAAACAATCTTTTGGAAGTGCAAATGGCTTCTCAGGCTGGTGAAATAGAGGTAGAAAAATGAGGTGTAAATCTTCAAGTTTTCTCTTCTGTCCAGAGAGACTTGGCCCTAAAGCAGCAGCTTGTTTTTATGAATTGCTGCATAATTTAACTGAATTGTTCTCTGGAACATAAAAGTCCTTTAAATAGCATGGAGGGAGCACATGATATTTAACATTTGCTGATATTATCTGTAGAACACTCCTTTCTCTATAGGGGCAGTAACAATTGGTCAACTTAAGGCCTGCTTTAAATAGCATTTTCAGAGAAAATATTTCCTTGGAACTTCCCAGCGTTTGAAACCTGCTGAAAGCAACCAAGTCAAAGCAGCAGGAATATAATTCTCTTGGAATATTGCAGTGTGGTGGCTGTCATTTCCTGGGATCTGCTTCAGGGACCCTACTGGCACTTAATTCATAAACCCTTGGGAATGTTTTTAAATCTGATTTTAAGGTTGGTTTAACTGCGTGTGTTTAAAAAAGAAAGAAAAGTGTGTTTGAATGTGCCCTTTTCATCACAGAAAACAAACTATTTGGTGTCTTTTCCAGTGTTTCTGTGGTTACTGTCAGTTCATTTTGTGTTCAGACTTAAGACTTTATCAAAATAGAAGCCTTGGGGGTGTTTAATTGTTGTAGCTCGTTGCTAATGTTGGACTTGTTCCCTTCTTCCCTGTTCCCTGTTTTCCAGGTGATCATCACCATCCTCACTGGGCTCCCAGGGTGTCGTTCCAGTGATCTCTGTGCTTTCCTCGTCACCTTTACCAAGGAGTATGGAAGGTTTGTGCAGTCCTGGTTATATTAATCACCAAAAAACAACTTGACATGATTAAATTATCAACGTTGAATTGTTATTTGTAAACCTCGTTTCTAATTTGTAAAGAGAAGTGTTAAAGAATAAAGTCAATAAATATTTTTGAGGTCCTGTAGGGTCTGTTACTTCACTTTTATGACTTCAGGTATCTCATTTAACTGTGTTTCCAGGTAGATTTGCCCTTCAATTTTAGATATTTAGACAGAAAAAAATAGCCCAGGAGGTTTCTTTGTTGCTATTCCATGTTAAGAAAACCACAGGAATCCCTGCAGATCTCACGTGTACCTGGAATAGCACTGAGGTTACAACAGTCAGGAATCATCTCAGAAGGGCCAAATGAATCCTGCCTTAAGCAAGGATAGAAGGTGCCACAACTTGAAGGAAATGAATGAAAAGATTCCTTTTTTGGGGAAAAGACTCTCCTGACAATCCTTGTTTTTAATGTGACCTGATTTCTATTCTGCAGGAGCAGGAGGTGCAGTCAGGACATTATTGTGTGGCAATAAGATAAATCTACGGGAGGAATTTTTTCATTCTCTGTGTTGATAGAGCTTCTGGAAAATCAAAAGAAACAATTGTTATCCTTTTAAATCTTGCAGCCAAACACCTCAGCATTTAATCTTAGTCGTGTTCTGCATGTTTTTCACTTTTAACTCAGCGTCTCGATATTATCAAGTTGATTCAGGAGAGTTTTGTGGTTCTGTTATAGGACAAGGTGACTTTTGAAGGTTGGGTAATAATACATTTCATCACGTTTCCTGCAAATGTCAGTGCTGTTTTCCATTTTTGCAGTGAAATATTTTCATGCCCAGAGACTTTTGAATTGGATTTGTATCATTTTTGTTTACTGCCTCGCTGACAGTGAGCAGAGTTACTGCTGGGATGCACAGCTTTGAAAAAAAAGCTGTTCAACATTATTTTATTAAAAAAACAACCAAACAAAAAAACCCCACCTTTTGGCACTAATGTAAAGAATGTGCCTGTGCTGGAAAGGACAGAAAGCCAAGTAAATCCCCCTTTCCCACGTGGTCAAGTGGAATGAGCTGATGATGAGATGGTGAGAGATGTGGAATCTTGGGCTTGTCAAATTTATTTTAGGTCTGTTGGTTCAAAATAAAAAGAGAACAGAAATGTTATGTCACAGAACGTGATCCCCTTTCCTTGTTTCCTGTTGTTTAGGTGGATTGTTTACAGGCAAACCATGGATAGTCCAGAATGTTTCAGTGCCACCCACTTCCAGAGGTACCTGTCCGGGGTCCTGGAGGCTCAGCAGAACCTTGGGGGCCGTCAATCCATGTTCTCCAAAAAGAACAAGAGGCTCCTGGTGGTCCTGCAGGGGTAAGTGTTACAAACTCTGGGAATGTTGCAAAGAATAAGGGATTTTTCTATTCCCTTCCTATTTCCCAGGCATTTTTAAACTTTCCCTTTAAAATTCTGAGCTCCAGCGTGGCACTCTGGGAATTCTGTTTGATGTGTGTGCTAAACTCAGCTTTTCTGCACCTCTTGATTTTATTGTTTTTTGTCCTTTGGAAGGAGTGTCCCTGGGATTCCTTCAGTCACATGGAAGCAATGGGCTCTCACAGCCCAGACCCCCCTGTGCCCTGGGCTGATCCCCCAGCGTGGGCAGCAGGGCAGGGGGGGATTCTGCCCCTCTGCCCCTGTCTCAGCTGAGACCCCCCTGTAGAGCTGCTCCAGCCCTGGGAACAACAGCACAAGGACGTGGAGCTGCTGGAGAGAGTCCAGAGGAGACCCCGGAGCTGCTGCCAGGGCTGGAGCCCCTCTGCTCTGGAGCCAGGCTGGGAGAGCTGGGGGGTTTCAGCTGGAGAAGAGAAGGCTGCAGGGAGAGCTGAGAGCCCCTTGCAGGGCCTAAAGGGGCTCCAGGAGAGCTGGAGAGGGACTAGGGGACAAGGAATGGAGGGACAGGACAAGGAGTGATGGTTTTAAACTGAAAGAGGCTCAATTTAGACTGGACATAAGGGAAGTTTTTTACAATGAGAGGCTGAGATAGGTCAGAGAAGCTGTGGCTGCCCCTGGATCCCTGGAAGTGCCCAAGGCCAGGTTGGAGCAACCTGGGCTAGTGGAAGGTGTCCCTGCCCGTGGCAGGTGGTGAGACTGGATGATCTTTAAGGTCCCTTCCAACCCAAACCCTCCTGTGATTCCATGGCTGTGCCCTCTGGAGCTGCCAGCACAGAGCAGGGCTGTCAGAACTCTTTGCCTGATGAAAGAGGTGATATTGGAGTAACATTTATTAACGTTTCTGATAAATACCAGTTTTCTTGTGGACTAAAGGTGAGTACTCTGAGCCACCTCTGTTTGACATTTTCATCTCCAGGGCAGCATTTTAGAACCAGGATGACCTGCAGCAAGTTTTCCCCCTCTGTTTCTGAGTCATTATAAGGTGACACAAACCAACCAACACACCCTGACCTGACTGGAATGGTTTTGCTTCCCAGGATTCAAAGTGTTCATCTGTTTCACTACGTGGAGCTCAGCATATTCTTCATTATAAACCATTCTGATAGTGCTAAAAATCATTTTTTTTCCATTTAGAGCCAGATTTACATTTTTTTTTACTCAGAGTTAGCAGGAGTGATGTAAAGTCCAGCAATGTGCAAAATAACTGGTATTCTGTAGCAGCAGTGGCTTCAGGAACAGCTAATTGGAGGTTTTCCATCCTTTCTGGATAGTTGGAGATTAGTACAGACAGCTCTAGAGTAGCTGGAATTCTCTGAATAATCCATTAACTTGCTAACTGACAGCACAGTTTTGAGAGAAGGTTGTGACTGGCTGAGAAATAAACACCTGGAATTAAAACTCAGGTTCACTTAAACTTTGTGATCACACAGAAACAGGACCCAGCAGTGTCTGGAGCAGTGAATAAGAAATAAACTCATTGATTATATTAATATTAATAAATACATTAATTACAGAAGCATATTTAAATTGGGATGCTGATAAGTGAGAGGGTGTTGCTTTTTTATTTCCTTTTTTTATTTGAATTGTGTTTAATATGCTTGGCATTAGGTATAACTTATTTTTGTTATTTTATGCTTTATGTGCTTCCTGAAAGCTGGACTTTTTATCCTGCTTTTCTCTCTGTGTTGTCAATAATTATTTTTAATGTAACTCTCAATCAGCTCGATTTGTCTGGATTGGCTTAAATTGGATTTGCCAAGTTTTGAGCTGCTTTCTCACTATTCAATGGACTTTTTTAGGACTCCAACCTTCTTGCAAGTGATGGATTTCTTCCTGAATGGTGGAATGTGCCCTTCTGTCTCTCTAAAACCATATTTCATTCTCTTTTCTTACAGATACACTGACGTTATTGATGTTGTACAAGCTCTGCAGACTCACCCTGACCCAGATGTGAAATCTTCCTTCCTCATTGGAGCAGTGAACACCTGTGTGGAGCCCCTGAGCTGCTACATGGAGCACAGGTGTGCTTTAAAATACATTTGCTAGTTTAAAAACAGATATGTGTGTTTATAAGATCACTTTTATAATAATTAGTGGTATCTGATGGTTAAATGTCTTAAATCTCATAAAACTTGGAAGTGCTCTTTGATTTATCAGGATGACACTTGGTTTCCACAAGGTATATAATTATATATTATATTAATGAAAGTTTAGCTTCTGGAAGAACAAACTAAATCTGCTTAAATGCATAAGTCTAGATAAGGACTTTGTATAATTTGGACACCCTCCTGTCCTTCTAAATCATTTTATTTCTTACAACCCTTTTTGGAATTTGGACTGAAAATTGGGACGTTCATCTGGGTTTGGGTTATTGATTCTGTCACTGCTTTGGGACGTTAAAGAAAGACTTTGCAGCCTTTAAATGTGGAACTGAAGGGAAGCAATCCCAAATTCAGTGGAAGGGAATGACAAAGCACGGAAGCCAAAGCACTGCAAGTGTTAAAACCTGATATCCTGGGTCACTGCAGAGCCAGGGTGGGGAGGAAACGCTCGCCAAGCCAAGTCGGTGACATTTGAAAACACTGTGCCTTGGATGCTGTTTCATGGTAGATGTGTGTGCTCCAGACTTCAGCAAACGTGGGAATAATTTCTTAGATTTATCTGTGAAATTGTAACACTCCCATTTTTTAATTATGCCTTGCAGCTGAGTTGATCAAAGTAAGTCGAAGCAGTTAGAGTGTTCGGAGTTGTTAGCGTTGCTTCTGTTTGTGAGCCAACTCTGTGCACCACAGCTTAGAGCTGAACTGCCCAGGCAGTTTCTAAAAGTGCATTCCTGAGATTTCCTGGCTGTTCTTAACCACTAACCACTGTGCTGCTTGTGCTTTGCAGTAGTCAATAAATAGACCTTATCTCGCTGCTTCTTCTTGTCTCCGTGACAAAGGTTGTCAAGAAATAATAAAACCCACAGAAACTCTTGGGGATTTGATGCTGGAGTGCTGGTTAAACTTGTGCTTTCCATAATTTGAGGAAAGACAAGTTGCATTTCTTTTGGTTTTTAACTCACTAACGTGTCACTAGCCCTGGTCCTGAGTAGCATTTAGAGCAGCACAGCCTGCAGTGCTTTAACCAGCAGAGTTTTGTCTCCTCAAGTGCAGGAGCAGTTGAAGGAAGAGGCTCAGCCTGTGCTGTGGGTGGTTTATGTCTTGCTTTGAAGTTTGTTCTGATCAGAATTTACCAAGTAGTGCCAATGGCAGCTCTTGCAGCTGGGCAGCTTTGGTGATTTCACTGTGGGAATGCACAAGAGTGGGTTCAATGTTTGCCTTGAAACTTTTGCAGTTGAGAAAATCAAACCCCTTTCCTGCCTCAAAGTTCATTCCTGTAGAGATCCAGCTCCTCCATGAGCCTGGGATGGAGTTTTTCCCTTCAGAGTTTTCCCTAAAACTATCTTTGAATAGCAGACCAGAGCAGGGGGGAGAGGGAGTTGAAGTGGGACAGGTAAAATACTCTCTCTAGAGCTTTGTGTGCGTGATAAAGCTTTTAAATTATAAAAATAATTATAAAAATAATTGTCACTTGTCTGACACAGCCCCAGAAATTGGCATCATTATTACAATCTTCCCATGAAGAGTTCCCACCATGCTTGGAAGGCAAAATTTTTTAAGACCAGCTTAAAATTCCTGTTGTTTAAATGGAAATTGTGGTGATGTTGAAGCCTTTCTGACTCTCTGGAATACAGAATGGATTGTGTGGTGGGAATTAGCTCTTAAATCCATTGGAGAATTAAAACCAGCTACAAAACTAGTTCTTGGGGAAGAAGTCCTGAGAGACACAACCTGTGGGGATGTTCCAGTTGTGTGGAGTGAGGAAAGGAAGCATGAAAATGGTTTGGTTAGTGAGATTGTAGCTGTCAGTGTCCAAACAAATGTACATGTTTTGCTTAAATAACAATATCCAGTCTTGATATCCAAACTTTTTGGTTTTTTAGGCTTCTTTTTCCCAAGTTCTTGGACCAGTGTTCCCAAGGTAGGTGTCACTTTTCCTGACTTTGTGCTCTACAAGCAGCTGAGCCAGGTGGCCAAATAAATACATTTATATTATATATTTATGCTATAAATTCACGTAGCCAAAGGATCATGATAAACTCTTGGAGAACAGACAATCTCTGCCTAAACTATCAAACAGGCACCTGGAGAAGGGGGAAGATTCTGGAGCATGGTCCCTTCCCACCCAAACCATTCCATGAATCTCTGGTTCTGTGGAATAAGTTTCAGTGTCAAGAGCAGAAGCAGATTTGACAGTTGTTCTTTTGTGCAGCTGCTGCACAACATTAAGACAGGACAGAGCATTTGTTTTCAAGGTGCCAGATCTCTCTCCCTCTCAGCATAGAACACTTATTTTCAGGATAAAAATATGAAAATATCACTACTGGACTGGTGAGAGAGATCAAACCAGTAACAATATAGAAGCAAAATGGCATTATTTATTAAAAGCAATTTAAAAAGAAAAGTCCACGGGTAACTCAAATATATGCAGAGGTTTATGTATTTTGCTGTATTTTCTGAAGAAGAAACTCTACTTTTAAGTTTAGATTTGGCTGTCCATATATATATGTATAAATATGTAAATGTATATATACATATATATGTATATTTACATGTATGTGTGCATATATGTGTAAATATATATATGTATATATATATACATAAATATATGTATATATGTATTTTTAAGTCACTGTTCTGTTGCAGCTGGAAAGTATGTAGTTGCTGTTATATAGATCATTATTTTATTTTTATTTGGAGGAAAATGTTGGTGCTGCAAATTGGGGAAAACTGTCCTGATTAGAACCATGGGGGAATTTGCAGAGGGAAGGAGAATATTAAGAATATAAAGAATTATCAGTAACTACAGAGAAGTTAAAAATGCAAGCATGCCTTTTTGTATTATGACAGAATAAAAAAGAAAAAGAAAAATAATAAAATAAATGAAAATAATGAAGCTATCTTTTTTTTTTTTTAAGTGATTTGTACAGCCCTAATTGAGGGACAATTTGTCCTTGTTGAAGGAGGAACTGGAAAATGCCCAGGACAGGCACAGCTAATTTTCCTACAATCAAAATGCTGGAAAAAAAATTACAAATACTGGAGGTTGGAGGAATTTTCTACTGGCAGGGAATTATTTGTGCACATTGGAAAGTTTTGTCCTGTAGTTTTCAGGTGCAGAATGTGACACTGGAGGGCCCAGAGGGCCCCTGCATGTGAAGAAATTGTTTTACATAAATAGGGGTAATTTTTGTGCAGGAAGTTTTAGGGGGAGAAGTGTGCTTGGAATGAGATGGGGGACACTCCAGCTTTCCAGGTTAATGCAGAACTGTGTCAGGTGTGGTGCAGGGAATTTAGTTCTGTATAATTTATAGAACCATGGAATGGTTTGGGCTGGAAGGAACCTTAAGGATCATAGAGTTCCAACCCCCTGCCATGGGCAGGGACACCTTCCACTAGCTCAGGTTGCTCCAAGCCTCATCCAACTTGGCCTTGGACACTTCCAGGGATCCAGGGGCAGCCACAGCTTCTCTGGGAGAACTGAGATATCTCTCAACAGAGAGAATTCATGGTGATTGCACATAATTGAGAATTGAATTCTGGTGCAGCAATAGCGAGATTTCCTGAGACATTCACTTCGAGAGATACTGGTCCTACTTTTCCATAGGATATTCCATGAGTCTGAGTTGGAAGGGACCCACAAGGACCATCCAGTCCAACTCCTGGCCCTGCACAGACACCCCAACAATCCCACCCTGTCCCTGAGAGCATTGTCCAAACCCTCCTGGAGCTCTGGCAGCCTTGGGGCTGTGCCCACTGCCCTGGGGAGCCTGGGCAGTGCCCAACCACCCTCTGGGGGAATTCTTGGAGTGTTGTGCACCCCAATGTTGTTGTCTGTGTTCCTGTGTCACCAGTGGGCCAAGGCAGTGTTGGGCATTGAACAAATCTGAAAACAGAAACTTGTAGGTGTAAGGAAAACCAAGTGTGGGCACAGGCAAGTAGGAATGAGTCAGACCTTTGGATACCTGCCTTGTCCACATAAGTATCTCGGAAAATTTGGGGCTGAGTAGGGTTTCCCTTGTGCTGCTGCTTTCCAGGTCTCTTCTGCTGTCACCTTTCTCTATAAGAAAGGGGTCCCTGAGCACATTATTGATGTGACAGCATTTTCCATGAGTTACATTCCTGTTTGGAAAGGCCCAAGAGCAACAGAGACAGATGAGGATGGGGGCGGGCTGGCAAAGCCTCCAGCAGTGACCAACAGGAGCAGTTTTGCTGTGCACATTTGCTTCAACCTTTTCCAAAAAAATCCTGCCATCATCTCTGTGCTGTAATTCCCTTTTATCTCTCCTTTCTTCCCTTTTTTAATTCTTTCCTTTCCTGCACGGAAGCTGTAACATGACACCTTCCCAATCCCAGGGCACTTTGGCATCTCTTGTAAAACAATTTCATATACAACTCAAATTAAGACATCACCATTGTTAAATATGCCCATTGTACATTTGGGAGCAAAGAGGCTCCATTATTTTCCTAAAGCATATGTATTTTTAATCCATCCCTCCTGTTTCTTTCCTGCTCCTATTGAACATGCTATTCCCCAGGCTGCAAGGAATTTTTTTCTTTAGATCAGCGTATAAAGAATCAAACAAAACTGGGTGGTCTCCAAAACACATCTCTTAGAAACAGGGATGGCAGTGACAGTTTTAATAGGAATGGTTTGGGTTGGAAGAGACCTCAAAGACCATCCCATTCCACCCCCTGCCATGGGCAGGGACACCTTCCACTAGCCCAGGTTGCTCCAAGCCCTGTCCAACTGTTCTTGGATGCTTCCAGGATGGGATTATGAGCTGATTCATACTTTATCTTATTCATACTTCAGCTTATTCATACTTTTCATCTTAATTGCATGATTAATATCCCTGAACTTGATATCATTTCAAGCCTGCACATGACTTAAATTTTGAATCATGCTTGCTGTTCTCCCTCTTCAAAAGCAAGTGGATATTGGAGAGGACATGGATGTTCCTGAAATTGGAGTGGAGACTTCTGTGGGAGTTTAAAAAAAAGGAGAAATAACAATGATGGAGATTTGTTTGGGGCATTACGAAAATTTGAGTTTGAAAGGGTCAGTGATGGAAGGAGCAGCGATGGGGAGCATATGGTGCAATATAAGTGCCCCAGAAATACTTGGTGTAGGAATTTCTGTGTGAAGAAGCCTCTGCAGGACTTGTGTGAAGGCCAGGAATAGCTGCAGGCAGCAGATGATGGGGGGTGAACTTCATTACATCTTCTTTAAATGGTGATGAGCTGGGGGCAAGGTTATTAAATCCTGCTTCAGTTGTTCCTGGATGCTGGAGAGTTTCTGTTCTGCCTTAACAGCAAAGTGTCTGAACTGAGCTGCACACCTTGAGCAAAGAAATAACAGTCATCCTAAAATTAGGGAATCATTTAGGTTGGAAAAGCCCTCTGAGATCATCAAGTCCAACCATCAGGCACCACCCCCATGGTCACCACTAACCCATGTCCTTCAGTGCCACATCCACACAGTTTTTTTAACACTTCTAGGGATGGTGATTCCACTGCTGCCCTCAGCAGCCAATTCCAGTGCTTGACAACCCTTTCCATGAAGAAATGTTTCCTAATATCTAATCTAAACCTCCCTTGGCACAACTTGAGGCTGTTTCCTTTACTTTTTCTCTCCATTCCTTACATGTTCTGGACCATCCTGACATCCCAGAGAGTCCCAAAGTGTTGGCACTGCAGTGTCTGTGAGGGAGCTGGGCTGAAGCTCAAATCATGTATAATTGGGAAGCAGGGATTCTGTAACACTGAAATTAATTGGATTTTTTTCTCTGTTGTCTTTTTGATGCCTCATGGGTTCACACTTGTTGTCTGAACACCATTTTGGGGTCTTTCTTGAAAGACAAGAAATAACCCCAAACCCTTGTTTTTAAAAGTAGCAACTGTCAGAGTCCAAAATACTGCTTTTTAGCTGTTTAGCCTCTTTATTGCATATTGAATTCACCAAGAGGCTTTACATGTTCATGGTTTTTATTAACCTAGTCCTGCTCAAATTGATTCTTGTATGAATTTATTATTTTAATTAATTGAGTCTTTTGATTGAGTCTGAATTGCCTCTGTTAGATGAAAGGTACTTTGCTTGGTTTTTTGTTGCTGTTGCTCTTTTTTTTGCTTTTTAATAACTGGAGGCAGCGAGAGGGAAGGGAAATAAGAGAAGAATGGCTGATGTGTCACTGAATCATTTCTTTATCGCTGCTTACATGTAAATTATGCTCTGATTTCCTTCCCCAGGACTAGTGAGTAATGTGGTTTTCACAAGTCATGCTACAGAGCAGAGACATCCCCTCCTTGTGCAGCTGCAGAGCCTGATCCGAGCAGCAAATCCTGCTGTTTCCTTCATCCTGGCAGAGAATGGAATTGTAACAAGGTACCAATGATCCCTGTCCAAAATTTATCACTTTTGGCAGGTGGGACACGAGCACTTAAAAAACTTGTGTTCTCCTCTTTTATTCTGGTGATTTATAGGAAGGAAATGCAGATTTTTCTTAATTGCTTCTCATCCAAAAGGGGTTTTCCCTTTACATTTATGGCCATATAAATACAGGGATTAGGAAGTGGGGTTTGTTTGCAGAGTGTGATTTATGTTACTGCAACTGCTACACTAGAGGAAAAATACTCTTAATTTTACTGTCACTAACACATTATGTTTTATGTAAGTAGGTAGTGGCTATTTTATTGAACTTATAAAATTAAAAATCTTCATTTTTATCTCCTTACAGGAACGAGGATATTGAATTAATTCTCTCAGAAAGCAGTTTTTCAAGTCCTCAGATGATGAGAGCTCGATATTTAATGTACCCTGGCTGGCAAGTATCTAGACTGAGAAGCATTAAAACTATTTTTCTAATTAACTTGAAGATTCAAATGTTTCACTGGCTTCATTTATACTTATTTTTTTTCCCCCAAGACTACTCACTTGGAAGAGGCAGCAGCTTTGTAAATCATTTTTAAGGGAGCTGACGAGTTTTCTTAGCGGGTACACGATTGCCACCCTTTTATGGGGGAAAAGGCTCCTTTCTGGACACCATTTAAATCAAGGACAAGATTACTGTTGCTTTTCCAGAAGAATGGGAAAGAACCCTCTGGGAATAAGCTGGGAAGGCTTGGGATGGGTGAGGTCAATAATGACTGGAGTAATTTCACCCTGACAGCTCTTCAGCCTTTCTGGAATGAACCCGCTCTGTCAGTGGAGCCATTAACAGAACAATTAGTCATAAAAGCCAGGACCTCAGTGACAGCCTTGGCACAGGCTGAGGGCACAGAACCACGTGGCACCAGGATTGCCATTGAACTCCAAGGAGATTTTTCATGGATCAGGGCTCTTTACACATCTTGTTGCAGTTATCTGTGCTGCACCTTTTTTGGCAGGAATAGAAACCTGTCAGCCCTCATAACTCCTGGCTCCAGTGGTGGAAACATGATTTATTGCTCATACCTTGCCAGGCCTGGATTTGTGTGTGTCTTTTGATTCATAAATCTGGTTGTAAATTGGAGGCTCCTGGAGAAAACTGGCACGAAGCTGGGGAGATGTTGGAGCTGCTTGTGGATTGTGTAGAGCCAAAGGGAGAGAAAGCAGGCAAAGAAAGTATTTCATAGAATCATGGAATCTGATTCTGTTTAAAACTTTTGGGCAGCTGTTGATCTGTTTGATGACAGTGTGAAAGAATTGTATGTGGGTAGTGTGTTAGGAAAAGGCAGCAGGAAGAGCATCAAAATATCCAGGGAGATCTTTCTGCAGCCTTCCAGTACTTCAACAGGGCTCATGAAGAAGAGCAAGAGTGACTTTTTACATGGGTAGATGGTGGTAGGGCAAGGGGGAAGGGTTTTAAAGTAAAAGAGGAGGTTTAGATGGGATATTGGGAAGGAATTGTTGGCTGGGAGGGTGGTGGGGCCCTGGCCCAGGTTGGGCAGAGAAGCTGTGGCTACCCCTGGATCCCTGGAAGTGTCCAAGGCCAGGTTGGAGCAACCTGGGCTAGTGGAAGGTGTCCCTGCCCACAGCACTGGCTTGGAAATGATCTTTATGGTCCCTTCCAACCCAAACCATTCCTTGGCTCTTCCATGAAAAGGAGCCCTGAGCACTTTGAACACCCTGATACTGTTGAGGCCACGTTTTCACGGACGTCTCAGAGAAGAAAGCTCAGTGTTTTTCTCCCTGGGGGGAGGGAACAGATGTTCCTTTGGAGCAGTTTGGTGGGTGAAAGGCCCAAGCTCAGGTGTTTTCTTTGTTTCTGGGTTTGTTTCTGCCCCAGGTACGAAGGCAAATACGGGGCCGGGCCCGTGTTCCCCCCCATGGTGCAGATCTGTGTGTGGTTCAGCCGCCCCCTGGAGAAGACACGATTCGTGACCAAATGCAAAGGTACAGCTGAACTTTGCCCCACTTGACTGAAATCCAGCCTTGAAATCCTGAGGAGCAGAGGGGAAGGAAGGCACTGACGTTAACACAGTTATTTACTTACTGCCCAAGTCAACCTTTAATTGAGAATTCAGCTTTCCTTCCTAAAAGTGCAGTAAATTCTGTTCCTCGGTGTCTGCTCGGGAAAACTGACACATGATTTCGTTCAGATAAAAATCTAATTTAGTTTTTGGTTTTTAGGACTGAGACAGTTGTGCTTTTTTTAAATTTTTTTTTATTTGCCATTTATTTTTTATGTTTAATTTTATTTGGTGGTGTTGAAATACAGTTTATAAGTGACCATCAGCTTCTGCTTTTTATGCCAGATAATTCTTTGTAGCTACTAGAAATTAGGCTGAACTCTGTTTTAGGCAAATAGGGTGGATATATAATCATGCCTTTCCTTGGCCAAGCAATTTAAGGAGGACCATTTTATTTCCCACACACACTGGAAGCACTTCCTTGTGCCAAATACATGATATTTCCCAAACCCCAGAGCAAAGAAATGAGAACACAGAGAAATGTTATAGGGTGGAAGTCAAGGGACACAGCAGCTTTTTCCTTGGAAGCACTGGGGTCTGGGTTAGGGATCAGTAGCTGAGGTCTGAGCAGAAGCTCAGAGAAGGAAAAATAAGTGATATAATGTATTTTTCTTCTGTTTCAAACAGCCATTAAGTCATTGCTCAAGCCAAGCCCTTTTTCTGGGAACATTTATCACATCATGGGCAAAGTGAAGTTTTCAGGTAAGAGCAAATCACTACTGAAGGGTTCTTTTGGGATCTCACTATATGCATTTAAGAACTTATTTCTGTGCTGTATTGTGACTGTTGATGTTAAATGAGATCAGCAATTACCAGGGCATTTCTTCCTTCTGCCTTCTCCTTGTCAGACTCTGATAAAGTGATTGAGGTCTGTCACAACACCTCCTCGAATTCCCTGAGCCTGGTGCCCGTCCAGGAGGGGCCAACTCCTCCTGACTCCAGAAATGATCCCAGAGACTGCAGCAGTCAACAGGAATACTTCCTTGTGTTCATTGGCTGCTCCCTGAAGGAAGAGGATATCAAAGACTGGCTCAGAGAAACTGCAAAACAGGTTTGTGGGCAGGTTTCCTTTTGCTTCAGTGTTTGGTGTTTCTTCACAACGAAAGAAATCCGAGTGTCTCCACGAAACATTTGTATTTTTAATCTCTTTTTAATTCTACCAAGGCGTTGCCTTTCTAGGGTGCAAATGTATTTCACAAAGGGGGACTACCAGTTTCTGTAATTGCTGTATTGTTTTAGGGACTTGCTGCAGCTCATTCATGGATTGATGTGCTCCTGAATGCTGGAGCAATATGGATTATGGCCAGGATAAACACAGGATGATGTAGCTGAGCTGTGATTGCCAAGAGCTCGAGTGTGGGGTGAAATAAATCTCCTTCAAGTACCTGAACGCTGCAGAGCCCAACATTTGTTTTGATTCGCTAAATTAAACCTCCTTGGAAGGAATCCACGGGAATGGAGGGTTCTGCTCACTTTGTCACCCTCAATTAGTCAAATGTGCAGCTCTGGAAGGCTCCCTGGAATTCTGCACGGCTGCTGTGGCTCTGCAGCAGGAGCTGGGGGAGGGAACAGGGAATGTGCACCTTGGAAGGAGCCCAGAAGGCACAGTTTGCACACGGTGATTGATAGAATCTTAAATTCACAGAATTACAGAATGGTTGGGTTGGAAGGAACTTTAAAGACCATCTCATTCCAACCCCACACCTTCCACTAGCCCAGGTTGCTCCAAGCCCCCCGTCCAACCTGGCCTTGGACACTTCCAGGGATGAGACAGCCACAGCTTCTCTGGGCAACCTGTGCCAGTGCAAATGTTGGAACATTTATTAATTTAAAATACTCATAATTACTTCTTTTTGTCTTAGGATTTGTTTTAGGATTTGCGTAATCTCAGTCTCAAACTATGACAGTATTATTTCTAAAAATTTATATAGGAAGGGAAAATGTTTCCTGCAAACTGTTGGAGCAGTTTTTAAGGATCCTTAGGTTCTCACCTCAGTTCTGGCAGGTTTTGCCCCTTCAGGGAAGTCATGGATTTTTTGGGGTTGTCTCATACTCTGGCTGTCTCATAGGGGGAACCCATGGAAAGAATTGCTCTCCCACTCTTAACTTTAACACTTTTAACTTTAGGAAAACTTGGGACTTAAATGCTTATCTCAAGTGTGAAGTGTTTCCTCTTTGAGCAGTTCAAGACAATAAATAGTCTTTGCAATCTCCCCAGTCCTGGCTAATTTAGGGTTTTGGGTAGTTCTGAGAGTTACCACTTGGTTGCATGAAAGAAAGGAATTGTAGAACTTCTCAGGCTCAAAATGAAATTGTTTTTCTGTCCCTGTGCCAGCTCTCTTCATTTCTTACACTAAAGCTGCATTTAAATTACATTGTTTAAAATACATGCAGAATTTTTCTTTTCTAAGTGCTTTATGTAAAATCAGTGAATTTTTACTTTTGCTTTCACAACATAGTTGTGAGCACCTCAATATAATTTTAGAAATTAATGTTTAATCTATTTTGGGTTGGTTTTGGGGGTGGTTTTTTTGTGGATTTTTTTTATTTTAAAACTAACTAAACTGTGCTATCACAATGTCACTCAGTAATTGTGCAACTGTCTAATTCTTCCTACAGAAACCTCAGAGGAAAGCCCTGAAAACCAGAGGAATGTTGACCCTTCAGGAAATAAAGAACATTCACGTGAGTAGAAGCAATTCCTTATGTGCCCTTTTTTTTGGCTGATTTCCTTAAATATCCATCTGGATGACAGAGCACCTGCCACAACAAGTGTGCTGAGCACTGAATTATTGCAGCACTTACTGTCTTTGGAGATCCTTGGAACACAACTGGATTGGAGATATAAATCTTAGGGCTTCCAGTTCCTCTGGAAAGCAGGAGGAGCTGTAAAATCTTGGCCATCTGTAGCGGTGCTTCCATTTTTCTTTTACCTGATCTTTAAGTTTTTAAGGCCTGTGTTTGCACAATTCCCAGTTTGAAATGTTTCACTTGTGGTATTTATCCCCTCATGCAGGTGAAACGTCACTTGGATCCTCTCCCAGCTGGTTATTTTTACAACGGGACTCAATTTGTGAATTTCTTTGGTGACAAAATGGATTATCATCCCTGTATCCTTTCAAAAACGGTGGTAAAGAGCCAGTTCCTTGCCACTTAAAGCTCAGGGTTGAATTTTTCAGAGATAAGATCTAAGAAGCAGAATAGAACCAACGAAACAATCCCAAAACTGCTCCATGAGCTCACTCAGGGAATAATTTATGGGCCACGGCCTGTCAAAGGAATATTTTTCAACCCAAATTGGGCTGTAATATCCCTGAGTGCCTGGGCATGATTGATAAAGCTTTCAAAAGAATGGAATTTTATGTGTGCACACACTCCACTGAAAACAATCATATTTTTGTCTTTAATGTTATTACTCTGGCATTTCTTGCCAGTGTTCCAGTGCATTCCTGTTCTTGTTCTCCACATGGGGACATGGGTCAGTGGTGGCCTTGGCAGTGCTGGGTTGATGGTTGGACTTGATCTTAGAGGGCTTTTCCAACCTTAATGATTCTGTGATTGTCTCATTTTCATCACTTCTCATCGCTTTTGTCTTTGTTTTATTACTAATTTCCAATTTGGTTTTATATTCCCACTTTTCGCCATAATTCAACAAACTTCACGAAAATCCAAGTGGGTTCTATGATGCTGCTTTGGAATAAGAGCAAACAGTTACTTTCTGTGTCCTATGGGACAACATAAAAAATTAAAACAGCAGACTTGGACTTCAGGATTCTCTGGAAAAGTTAGGGATGTTTATTCCTGGAAGTGTCCAAGGCCAGGTTGGACAGGGCTTGGAGCAACCTGGGCTAGTGGAAGGTGTCCCTGCCCATGGCAGGGAGTGGGAGTGGATGATCTTTAAGGTCTTTTCCAAACCAAACCATTCTGGGATTCTGGGATTCTGGGATTCTTTATTCCCCCTCCACCTTGGTGTTTGGCAATGAAAGCTCCAGGCCCTGGTCAATCCTTTCAGCAGGATTTGAATTTTAGGCAGAAATTTTTGGACTTCTGCATCACCAAAATACCTGTAAATACATTCACAGAGTCACGGGGTGGTTTGGGTTGGAAGGGACTTTATGGACCATCCAGTTCCACCCCCTGCCATGGGCAGGGACACCTCCCACTAGCCCAGGTTGCTCCAACCTGGCATTGGACACTTCCAGGGATCCAGGGGCAGGCACAGCTTCTCTGGGCACCCTGTGCCAGGGCCTCCCCACCCTCCCAACCTGGAATTCCTTCCCAATATCCCATCTAATCCTGCTGTAGTTCTTATATCCTTCCTCCTACCTGGGAGGTATCCCTTGTGCTGCCCTTTTTTTTCCCTGGTCCCACAGTAGTTGTACTCAGCTCTGACTGCACGACTCCAGGAGGTCATATATTGAATTCCTGCTTTCCCTGAGCATCCCTGACCTGCCACATCCTTCAAACCTGGATGTTTTTTCCTAAATGCCGTTTGCACCGATGTTTTTCCTTAATTTTTCCCAAGTAATGGACCAATTCATGAACGATTACCTGGAAGAGGCCAACAGGGAGATCGAGAAGTACAACAGGGAGCTGGAGGAGCAGGAGTACCACGACCTCTTTGAGCAGAAGACATAAAGCACGTGGGTCCTGGGGGTTTCCAAACCACCCAAAATGCTCTTTGTCCTTGCTGGGTCACTAGAATTTGAGGGAATTGTCTGTTTGTTCAGCACTCCTTTCCAAACTAAGAGATCATTCCTGTAAGGTTGGCGTTTAACACGGGATCTGCTTTAGCTGTGTGTCCTGTCAGGTTTGCTTCCACTTCAGCTTAATTCCAGACTGTCCAAAGCATCACCTGGAATCTCTAGGGGGGGTTGTGGGGACTTGTTCAAAAGAAGAACAAGAAGAAGAAGAAGAAAAAGAAGAAGAAGAAAAGAAGCAAAACTTTATTTATTTCCTTTAGTTGGGAATGTAATCGTGGAATTGGGCTTTGTGCAGAGAATCAAACTGCTCTGGGTGTCCCTTGGAATTTGTGGCACAGGAGCATCAATGAGCAGTGCTGGATGTCAGGATGTGGGATTGGGGGTGTTCCCAAAGCGAGAAATGGGGGAACACTTACTCAGAAAAGTCCCCAATCCCACAGCTGTGGGGTGTTCCCAAAGCGAGAAATGGGGGAACAATTCAAAAACTTGGAATCCCTAAACCTACAGCTGTTGGGATGTTCCCAAAGCGAGAAATGGGGGAACACTGGGAGGAACTCTGAAAAGTCCCCAATCCCACAGCTTTTAGGTTGTTCCCAAAACGAGAAATGGGGGAACGATTCAAAAACTTAGGATCTGTAAATCTGCAGCTGCCAGGATATTCCCAAAGCGAGAAAAGGGGGAACAGTTACTCAAAAGAGACCCTAATCCCACAGCTGTCAGAGTGTTCCCAAAGTGAAAAATGGGGGAATAATTAAAGAATTTAGAAGGATAACTAATCCCACTGCTGTGGAGTGTTCCCAAAGCGAGAAATTGGGGAACAATGGGAAGAACTCTGAAGAGCCCCCAATCCCACTGCTGTTGGGGTGTTCCCAAAGCCAGAAATGGGGGAACATTTAAAAAACTCAGAATTCCTAAACCTACAGCTGTCAGGGCGTTCCCAAAGCAAGAAAATGGGGAATGATTCAAAAATTTAGAATCCCTAATCCTGCAGGTGTCAGGGTGTTCCCAAAGCGAGAAATGGGGGAACAGTTACTTGAAAAAGTCCCTAATCCTGCAGGTTTTAGGGTGTTCCCAAAGCGAGAAATGGGGGAACATTTTAAAATCTCAGAATTCCCAATCCCACAGCTGTGGGGTGTTCCCAAAGCAAGAAATGGGGGAGCGATTCAGAAACTTGGAATCCCTAAATCTGCAGCTGTGAGGATGTTCCCAAAGCGAGAAATGGGGGAACAGTGGGAAAAAGACAGAAGAGTCCCCAATCCCACAGCTGTCAGGGTGTTCCCAAAGTGGGAAATTGGGAAACGCTTCCTTGAAAGGGTCTCCTAGTCCTACAGCTGTGGGATGTTCCCAAAGCGAGAAATGGGGGAACAATGGGAAGAACTCTGAAGAGTCCCCAATCCCACAGCTGTTGGAATGTTCCCAAAACGAGAAATGGGGGAACACTGGGATAAATGCAGAAGAGTCCCTGATCCCACAGCTTTTAGGTTGTTCCCAAAGCAAGAAATGGGGGAACAGTGGGAAGACACAGGAGAGTCCCCAATCCCACAGCTGTCAGGGTGTTCCCAAAGCAAGAAATGGGGGAACATTTGAAAACTCAGAATTCCTAATCCCACAGGTGTCAGGGTTTTCCCAAAGCAAGAGATTGGGGAACAGTTGAAACATTTCTATAGAAGAGTCCCTAAACCTGCAGCTGTCGGGGTGTTCCCAAAGCGAGAAATGGGGGAACAATGGGAAGGACTCTGAAGAGTCCCCAGTCCCACAGCTGTCAGGGTGAGAAATGGGGGAATAACTAAAAAATTTAGAAGAATAACTAATCCCACAGCCGTGGAGTTGTTCCCAAAGCAAGAGATGGGGGAACATTTTAAAACCTCAGAATTCCTAATCCCACAGCTGTCAGGGTGTTCCCGAAGCGAGAAATGGGGGAACAGTTACTCAGAAGAATCCCTAATCCCACAGCTTTTAGGTTGTTCCCAAAGCGAGAAATGGGGGAACAATTCAAAAACTTGGAATCCCTAAATCTGCAGCTGTGGGGATGTTCCCAAAGCAAGAAATGAGGGAACACTGGGAAAAACATGGAAGAGTCCCCAGTCCCACAGCTGGTAGGATGTTCCCAAAGCAAGAAATGGGGAAATGATTCAAAAACTTAGAAACCCTACATCTACAGCTGTCAGGATGTTCCCAAAGTGAGAAATGGGGGAACAGTGGGAAAAACTCAGAAGAGTCCCCAGTCCCAGAGCTTTTAGATTGTTCCCAAAACGAGAAATGGGGGAAGAGTGGGAAAAACTCAGAAGAGTCCCCAATCCCACAGCTGTCAGGGTGTTCCCAAATCGGGAAATAGGGGAACAATGGGAAGAACTCGGAAGAGTCCCCAGTCCCACAGCTTTTAGTTTGTTCCCAAAACGAGAAATGGGGGAACAGTGGGAAAAACTCAGAAGAGTCCCTAATCCCAGAGCTGTGGGGTGTTCCCAGAGTGAGAAATGGGGGAACACTTACTCAGCAGAGTCCCCAGTCCCACAGCTGTCAGGATGTTCCCAAAGCGAGAAATGGGGGAACGATTCAAAAACTTGGAATCCCTAAACCTACAGCTGTTGGGATGTTCC